CTTACAGATGTCTCTGGCATCTAAATAGATTTCATATGATTTCCTGCCTTCATTTTCTCATCATTGGTTTTTAAATTGTGATATGATCTAGAAATTCACTCAATTTATCCAGATGTCTATGAAAGCCAGTTTGACATGTTAAAATTTTCTTTTCTCTTTTCATTACCTTTTCTCTTATGACTGTATTGTTATGTATTGCTTCTTTCTATTTGTCTAATTTTTTTATTTTTTACATTGCATCTGGATATTTCTATTCAGTTCAGTTCAGTTCAGGGCAAAACTACCTACCAAAAACCAATCAAAAATCCCAGACTCTTTTGAACTATAGGCAATGAGTGGATTATGGGTAAGTTATATAAGCTTTTTTATATGGACTTTGTGATTTGGAGTTCAGCTCTGCAGAAACCTTTAAAATTCTTGTTTCTTAGTTCTTGATTCTGCTTCAAAAGGTTGAGGTTGTAGAATAAAGTACTTTTTGTAGAAAATTTAGATTTTAAAATAATATAGGTATTATTCTTAGAAAAGTAACAGGCCTGATATAAGAAGCTGCTATTCTTTCTTTGAAGTCATATTAATTCAATTAATATTTTAAATATGATTTATTAAAATTAACAATGCCCCTACAGGAGATCCTGCAGATGAAATGCATAATAATTTTGCTGAGTTCATAGCTTTTCCACAATGTCAAGTCTCTTTGGAAGGCAAATGGCATATATTTCTGAGTTCAGTTTCAATTTTGCTCCTTAAAAAGGCAAGTCATGACATCCAGTCCTGTGATTGGCAGCCTCTAAGAACCCAGCAGATGGAGCATGGGCTTCCTCCATTCACCTTGGATCTCTACCTTTTAAGCTGCAAATGCTGCAATAGTATACGTTCTGTCATAGAGGGTTTGTTTTAGTTAACTTTTTGTCTCTGAAACCAAAATAACTGATAAGAACAATTTCAAGGAGGAGAAGTTTGGAATAGGGAGCTCACAGTTTCAGAGGTCTTAATCCATAAAGCTGATTCCATTGCTCTGGGCCCAAGGGGAGGGAGCACATAATGGGGAAAGACCACATCTGAGGAAAGCTGCTCAGCCTGAAGAGGGGTCAGGAAGCTAAGAAAGGGAGAATGTGCCACAAGGAAAATTCATCCTTCCAGGGCACCTTACCCAGTGACCCACCTCCTCCAGCCATGCCCCATCTGCTTATAGTTACTACCCAGCCAGTCCATTCACTAGAATGGACAGATTAGATTATAGTTCTTAAGATCCAATTATTATACCTCTGAATAATCTTGCATTAACAGGAGCTTTTGGGGAACACCTCATATCCAAAATAACAGGCTTCTATTTTAGTAGCAGTGGGGGATTAAATAAGGTACCTCAATACAATTATCCTAAATCATGGTTTGAGTCAGGAGGACTTGAATGCATGCAGTTTATTAGGAAATGATCTCTGGAAGCAGTTTTAATAGATCAGGAAAAAGAAAACAGAGAAGCAGGAAAGAAAAAAATATATATATATATATGATTAGTTTTTGCTTTGGGCAACTAGGACTGAATCCTATGCAGATTGGGAGGCAGTTTCTAAGGAACTGTGTAGAGAATATACCTCACAATTATCTCTCCAAAACATGGGGTTGTTGTGTATCCATCTACTAATGTCCTTGTCTCTTATTTGGAGTATTCTCTCTCACCCAAGTGTTATTCCCCCCGCCCCCCATTACACATTTCCTGACTATGAGTGTGTTATTCGGCTTCAGAGGCAGAGAAATGGAGAGAAGTTGTCCTTTGGGCTTGTAGAAGAACATGGTAAGTAAGTACATGGTAGTTATCTACCACATTGTTCTAAGTCAGAGATGGGCCAAGTGGGTGTGATAGAGGCACAGAAAAATTTCTGCTTTGAGATGATGTTTATACAAATTGCTTTGTGGTCTATTATGTTTTCACAAATACCATTATTTATTTATTTTTCTTTTTAAAAAAATTATTTGGTACTGGGGATTAAAACTAGAGGTATTGAACCACTGAGCCAAATCTCCAGCTCTTTAATTAATTAATTAGATTGAGTCAGGGTCTCACTGTTACCTAAGGCCTCACTAAGTTGCTGAGGCTGATTTTGAACTTTCAATCCTACAGAGTCGCTGGGATTATAGGTATGTGCCACTAGGCCCAGGTCACTAGTTATTAATAATTTAAAATATTTTAGTTCATAATAAGTTTAATAAAAGTTTATCAGATAGCATGGTTCATCTTAATTAATAACATCTGTGATACCATTGAGTAGAGTTATGCCACTCATGTGTTGTAAAAAACCTGTGATTGGTTGGGTATTGATATATCCATTGTCACTTCCTTACTCTGCTTTGTACCTCTTCCAGAATTGCTACCTGGTTACCAGAGCAGCTTATACACACACCACACCACACACACTCACATACATATGCACATTCATGAAATATCCACCCTCTTGTTGCTCCCAGATTGGATAAAAATCCAGATAGGACAGAGAAAGGGGATGCAGAATACTCAATTTTTCTTTCAGATTTTTTTCTTTTCCTGTAGATTAGGAAGTAGGAAGTTGTGATTGAGAAGTTGTCAAAAAAACAAACAAACAGCTTTTGTAGAACTGCCCTCAAGAGAATAGTCAGAATCCTACACAAATGCTATAACTAAGCTACTAGCCTACAAACATGTCCAGGCCATTATTAAGCTCTGTTTCCATTGTTCATAGAAAAGTTTCCATAGTTAATAGTTCATATTTCATAGTTGAGGACTATCAGATTTAAACCTGTATTATTATATAATCATCAAGGAATACTCAGTAAGTGCTCACAGAACTCTTCCTTGATTCTCTCATTCCAAGGAAAATAAAATTATAAAAATACTATCAGGCAAGGCCCATAAAGAAGGGTGACTCTCATGGAATAAATCTAAGACACATACCTCTTTGGAGAAAGATGTCACTCAACAGTAAAAGATCACCAAGACTCCTGCTTTATATTCCATCAAAAAACTCCGAAGTCCATCAGCTTGGTTACCCTTTACCCTCGTTGGGCCTGGACTCAGAGCTTCCAGAAGATCAGGGTGAGAGTGGAATGTTTAGCTCTAGGCTATCATTCTCCAAATTCAAACTCCTGAAATTTACTGTCAAAAAAGGACAAAACTCTCTGTTGTTACTACTCTAAATAAGTGTGGTTAGAGTTGGCCTGCCCTGCTCTTGTAATAAACAACTCACACGATAAATGACTGGATCTGATGAAAGGTTGTTTCTCACCCATGTCAACCCAATGGATCTAGAGGGTGGCTCCTCTATGCAGTCATCCTAGGACCCAGGTTTTTTTCATCATGGATCCACCCTCATTCTGTAGAGCCCTCATACTTCAACTAATGAATAAGAAAAAAAAAAATGAAGGTGGCTCTCAGGTGGTCCATATGTAGCTCATGTCACATTATCTCTTTGACAAAATCTTAGTTATATAGTGACACCTAACTTGGACAGAGATGGGAAATCATAGACTCAATGAATGCGCAGGAAGTAGAGGGGAACTTAGGATAAAATCTTGCCATTTCTTACAAATAAGGAATAGAATGTGGGGCCAAATCAAACAAAGAAACAACAAATAAAGTCTTCATTTTCTTTGTGGAACAGTCATACCTTTAATATTCTTTTCTCCCTAGAAACGGGCAAAGCCTTAAGTTTTGTCTATTATGTAGGATGTTCTACTCTGGATATGTAGAGGACCTCTTCTCCAGGGAAGACGTCTATTTCTGGTATTGTCCTGTTGCTTCTGGTTCTGCTTTGGTATTGTGATGGAGTAGAAGGTGAAGACATCATTTCTGCTCACCTGTGGCTCATGGTTGGCCTTATGGTAATCAGCCAATAGCTGGTACAATCACCACGGAGGCTCTTAGGTTTTCTAATTAGCAGAATGAAGTTTAATGATGAATATCTGAGCCAGAGTATGGAGGGAAGTGAGAAAGAGTACTCATGTATTAGAATCATCTAGGAATATTTTAAATTATTTATGTTCGTCTTGGGGTAACTCAGCATCTGGTATGAGCTTCTGAGGGGAGACAAGTAAAAAGTAGATTTTGCAGAAGTTAACCTTGTACCTGTCCATCCCTTCAAGTCACTGGAGAACCACTACCTGTGACTAGGGCGGCCATAACAATGGTTTGGGTGGCTTAAACAACAGGAATGTACTTCTCACGTTCTAGAGGCCAGAAGTCTGAGATCAAAATGTTGGCAGGGTTCACTTCTGATGAGGCATCTCTTCCTGGCTTGTAAATGTGGCTTTTTCATGTGCCTCTTGTCTTGTATGCACACATCCCTGGTGTCTCTTACTCTCCTAATAAGGACAGTCATATTAGATGAGAGCCCCACCCTTAGGACCTTGTTTAACATTAACTACTTCTCTAAAGGTTCTATCTTCAAACATAGTCACATTGGGAAGGGAACATAATTCACTCCCTAACAATGAGATGGTGGAAGGGTCTCAGGTGACACAAACTACCATCTTGTTTTCTAAGACTTCACAGTTTTACATTTTTTTGAATCATCTGAATCACATGAAAAAAAAGATCACCAGCAGATATTATAGTTAAGATTCCAGTTACAGCAGTATTGACAAATTGAAATTCATAATATACAATGTAGATGAATTTAGTTTTAGAATGTTGAGCTGCGCTTAATCCTCCTCAAAATAACATAGCAAACTTGAACTGGATAATTTGTATAAGTAGGCAAAATTCCACCTGCATCATTTCTAAATTCCATTCTTAATTGCCTCCTTCCTTCTTTTCAGTATTTTCCTCACAAATGTGTTGTGTTCTTCACATTGAGGTGGATGCATCTGGTCATTATTAGTCTCCTCCTATCCTGTGCATCCTCTTTTCATTTAGGTTCCTGCTCTGGAAGGATGGCCACTCACTAATGTGATAAAGAATTCAGATAAATATGTAGGTAGGAGATTAGTATTTTAGGCGACAGTCCCTCTTATATTTGCATGACTGAGGTATCCTCAAAGCTTTTAATCTGATGGGGTGGACGCTTTAGGAACCAGTGAACTGGTAGGGACTTCATTGTTCCCTGGCATTACCGTGCCTGCGGATGGTGAGTCGGGGAGGTGCTCAGAGCACACTCTGAAGTCAGTCCCCAGTCCTCAAGTGTAAAAACTCACTCTTGCATTTTTCCCTCCATAGAGCTGACCCATGCACATATGTTCTTAGGAACAGACCATCCATCTCAAATGAGTACATCTCATTATGATCTATAGCACACAGGTTTTCACAAGTGCATTTAAAAAATCTTCTATGCCCCCTTCTCTTTCATTATCTACCTATTCATTTTAAGATCTGAGAGAGTAGGAGAGGTGTCCTGTTCATTTTTATTTCTTGATTAAAAATTGTTGGTGTTCAGTAAATATTCAGGGGATGTATTTTTGCTCTTGTACAGGTTTTATTTGTTTGTTTCCAATATTGCTTTCCTCACCAGTTTTTTAAAAAGTGCAACTCAAACAGAGAAGAGAAAAATTCAAGTTTTGGAAGCAGATTTGGCTTATAGAAATTTATTCTAGTGCCATGTCTTTTCCCAACTCCAAGTGTCTCAACCATTAGGGTTAAACTCCTGCTATTTGAGTCAGCATTCCCTTCGAATGGCATTATTATTATTGTTTATCATTGCCTCCGCTTTTACAATATGCTTGGTGCTGCGGAAGACATTAAAAAGACACAGTTCTTGCCTTGGGGCTTACACTCAGATAGGCAAACAAACAAAATGTATTTAAGAAGAGGTAGATTGATCGCGAAGATGCAATTTCCCAGGTGTCTATATTTGTGCTTTGGGTTCGTTTGTCTTTTAACCAGCTGTAGGCTAAATAAATCTCAAAACTTTCCTTCAAAACAAGGACATAAATGAAAAGGGTTCAGAAGAAAACACAGCCTCAAAGGGCAGAATGCAGGGTTAGAACACCAGATTTTATGGCCCATAAGCATTGGGCTAGTCCTTTACTATCAAATAATGTTTAAAACATTCACTAGTTCTCCTAACAGACTGAGTCATGTGCATGAAATTTAAAAAAACTTCTATCTCATGAACATATTCCCCTCAAGTTTAATTTTTGAAAGTTTAGCTTTATAAACTGAAATGGATGAAAATGAATTTCTTAATTCCTTTTTTTTTATTTTGGTGAATGTTTACATTTTTTTTCTCATGTAGATACAGAGCAGAAACAAGCATTTCTATTTTGCATATTATCTCTGATGTTTGTGGAAAATATTCATATGTGTGTGTAAAGATGCAGAAAGCATCCCTATCTTAGAAATCTCAATACTGTGCATGCTCATTATCAAATGATACCAAATGCCTGCTTGTGGGAGTAAGTCCGTGGCCAAACTTTAGGCTTCACCTGTGAAGTACTGAGGAACATAATCTGCATGCTTGGTAAACCTACAGAGATGTCCAGATTGCAGACAGGCTGGCAGGAACTTCCCCATGCAGAGGAGAGTCAGGTTCCATTCATTTGGTCACCATGGTCTCAAGATGCAAGGAAGTGTTCTTCCCCAGATTCTCAATATGTGTTAAAGAGAGAAGCACACAGATCCATGCATATTTAGGTCCTGGTTTCCAAAGTTTCTGTTTAATTGCACTTTCTCATCACATGCAGCAGTGTGGGATGCCCTTCCAGATGGCCCACACAAATGCTTTGTCGTACTTCACTCACTCTTTGCATGTCAAACATCTCTGGGACTACATACATCACCAATTAGCATCTTATATTCATTTGACAGGAATGATTCTGCAACGTTTGGTACAGTTTTCTTTGATAACATTTGCATGTTGTGATGTTCTTCTCTTATAAGAATCAAGGTTGTGATTCTGGAATTTTCTTTCCATCCCCCTCCCCCCCACAAATGTTTTCCCCTGTGTGGCACCATTTGATCTGTGGTTTAGCGGAAATGTCTTTTTAAATGTGACATTTCTGGAACCTGGCAAGACCAAGTTAGTGTGTTTACTAATACATATGCTAAGCCTTTGCTATGTCACCGCTCTCCAGGGGGCTGTGTTCCTGTGGGTACGCCCTCAGTTTTTTAGATTCTAGGTTATGAGACCTCCTCATTGTTCTAGAGATGTGGCATTGTCCTCTTTTCAGGCTTTTGCAAAAGCCTTCCAGTTAGGCATTCCTTATTTGGAACCCTGTAATAAGCATTTAATACCGTGAACTTTGTGCTTTGGTGCCTTCAGTAAGGTATATGTACAGAGTAGTAAGTAAAGCACTTATGTGTAACAGTCACATTGAGCCAATATACCAAAACCATGCAGTGCACCAAAGGGATTGTCACCTGACAAATGGTGACCGTGACTTTAATGAGTTTCTGAATGTGATCAGTATTAATTCTGGAAAACAGGTATGTGGAAATCACCTTTTGGACATCCCCACTTGGATGTCTCTCAGGTCTTTCAAACATTCACTTTCAGGATCTCTGAAACCTGTTCCTCTTCCATCTTAGTAAATCAAAACATCTAAAAAAAAAAACAAAATATCTATTCAGTTAGTCCATTTCCTTCCTCCTGGAATCTGTCATTAATTTCTGCTTCTACTTCTGTATGTTCTGAATCAGTCCAGTCTTTGCCACATCCTGTCTCACCTTTATTTCACATCCCAATTCCTGGAAACCTTCTTAAACCAGTTTCCTTGCTGTAAATCTGGTTTTTGCATATAGTTATCCCTTGGTCTCTGTAGGGGATAAGTTCCAGGACCTGTGGTTACAGAAATCTGCAGATGCACGAGTCCCTTATTTAAAATAGCATATTATTGGCATAAAACCTATGTGTACCCTCCTGCATACTTTGTTTGTTCATTTATTTATTGTTGGCCTGGGGATAGAATTGACCAGGGGGCCCACACATGCTAGGCCTGTGTTCTATCACTGAGCTACACACCTGGTTCTCCTGTGCACTTGAAACCATCTCTAACTAATTCATGATGCCTATTACAAAGTAAAAGCTATGTAAATAGTTGTTCTACTATAATGTTTAGGGAATAATGCCAGGAAAATGCTCTGTACATTTTGATATAGATGTGATGAAAAATATTTTGATCTACATTTGGTCGAATTGATATAGAACTTATGGAAATAGAGTGCTGACTGCATTCTTTTTTCTACCTAACCGTTAGAACTCTTTCCATCATAAACTGGAGAGGTCACCCACTGCCACTGAAACCCAGCATTGGCTTA